CCTATCTCACTGGTGAGCAGGCTGGCTGGCTTTGGGACAGTCCCTCTTTCAGCCCAGCCCACCTTGCAGGGATGTTGTTGTTGAGGTGAGTGGCGTATAAATTCAGTAAACGTAAGAGGGGAGCAATATTAGGTATGTTCATCGTGTGGATCGCTTAATACAGTGATAAAGGCAGGATCAAAATCCAATGAGTAAAAATGAACAAACAGCATTTTATTCCCAGGATGCCTTTGAAGGGTTGGGGTGCAGCTGCTTTCGGAGAGAGGGCCCCTCTTTGCCCACAGCTTGTCTAAGCAATGTTTTTGACCCTCATTTAAATTCTTTACCTTAAATACCTTTACCAGTCCCAAGTCCTGAAGGGATCAAGGACGCCTCTTTCTTCTTTCTGTGGAGAAAGGTAGAAGCCTGTGTCTGTGACGCTGCCTTTATTTGTAAACTAACATACAACATGAGTACACAACAATGTGCAGTGAATGCCACTTGTGTTGTGTTATTAGAGCAGGGCAAATGAGCAGTTAAAAAGGGGGGCGGATTGAGGACTTTGGATAAGTCCTTCTTAAGTAGGCTAAGCGTAGGAATGCTTGAAACAAGAAATTTTGCCTGGAATCTGAAGTGAAAGGGGTAAGAAGTGAAAGTGGAAAGATCTATTTATTGTACTGATTTTTTTTAAAATTGCATTGTTAAATGCTTTACCCATAATAGATCTTCAGTGAGAGATGTTGTGCAATTGGCTCTGAGTAGCTAAGGTGAGCTGTGCACATCTTTTATCTTTAAATCAGCATATGTGCACTGAACAGTTACGCTTCCTTGTAACAATGTGGCACGAATGTAACAAACTAACTTTCCTTGCTTGTTTTTCAAATTAACAAAGCAGAGGCTCTTTCTCACAAGGAAAAACCAGTTAAGAATCCTGTATCCTGATGAACTTGTTTTGCAGATTTTTCCACTCGGGCCAATAATATTTTATGCAAGATTCCTGGCAAATTACTATCATAGGTTAAGGGGGATTATGGGGCATGTCTTTCATATTTAGGGGTGGTACCCTTTGCTAAAATTTTAGCTTTTGGTTGCTGGGTCTGTTTGGCTCACTTTGTTTGCTTGGGGCGATTCACACCTGCAAAGGCGTGAATCTTGTTAAATTCAGATTTTGCCTGGCCGGTGCCTTCTTTAACACCAGCCCCAGACCTGCAAACTCGTCATGCCAATTTTGGCTATATTTACCTGGTCTGAGGGGCAGTTAATGTTCTCAAACATTTAGAAGGCACAAAATAGGAAACGTTGACCTGAGATCAAGCCTTGCGCTCTTAGCATTGCATTTGCAGTCCCTGGACACAAAAAAGGAATGACTAGAATAACCTCCATAGTTGTAAACGTGGGAGGATTTCCCTCCAGTTGTCAATGATTTCACTTTGGAGACTTGCCACCGTTTTGTCATATCTAAGAAGCTTTGTCCGTTATTCCTGGATGTGTGCTGACTTTTCAGGCTAGTGCCAGACAAGGGAGTGGCTTGGTAAACGACATTTTAAGGCCCCTTACCGTTTCCCATGGCAATCTCTGAACTTTGCACACATACTGGTTGGTCATTGTCGGGCATTGACTTTCCCAAAGGGCAGTGGCACAATTGCCATCAGGAAAAATAAAAGCCGTGCAACCTCACAGCTTTTAACAAAGAGAAGAGTTCACCCTGGGTTTCCCTTAAGGGCGCTGCAGAGTTGGGAGCACTGGTTTGAGCTGCACACTCTTGAAAGAGGAGTTAGGCACAAGGGGTCCTCGGCTTACAACTGTTCATTTAGTGGCCGTTCAAAGTTACAATGGCACTGGGGCTTATGACCGTTTCCCACACAACCATTGTGGCATCCCCATGGTCATGTGATCGAAATTTAGGTGCTTGGTCAACTGACTCATACTTACGACGGTTGCAATGTTTATCCTCTTTAGCGACCTCCTGGGCAAGCAAAGCAAGGGGGAAGCCAGACTGACTTCACATCTTGCTCACTTAACAACGGCGGCAAGAAAGGTCCTAAAATGGGGCAAAAGTCACGGAGCCAACGTTTCACTCGGCAACAGAAACATTGGGCTCCGTTGTGGTCATAAGCCGAGGGCTACCTGCATAGCAGGACATCATTTGCTGTTTGAGGTGTTTTCTTTTTTCTTTTCTTTTCCTCTTGAGTTCTCAAACTTGCCATTGTAAACAGGCGTACGTTTGGGCTCTGCGCCAGGGTGTGTGTGCAAGAGGACACACACACACCCTTGAAGGCAGTTCTTTGGCGCTTTTGGAAACATCGGTTCGATCTAGAAGCCTTTGCATTGTTCGCTATTTTGCCAAAGAACGATCAAAGCGGCGCCTTAAGATCTCGCCAGCATGTGCAGGGCTTGAAATAGTGCCTTTCGTTCATACGACACGGGCTCTCCAGTGGAAGTGCAAAGGCCACACCACGCTGTGTGTGACGCTCTTCTGTATAGAACGGATGAATTCCAATCAGATGACGGCCACGTGCTTACTAGAAGGAGCTTACGCCTGGGAAATCACATCTTCTGAAGCGGGGAATGACCTAAACCCTCAGACGGAGCTCAGAATTTGTTTTTTTTCTAGTGGGAAAGGATCCCAGCCGTCCTGCATTCTGGCTTCTCCTCCGAGACAGATTCTTTCTCCTGATGCCAGCGTTGTATTTTTCTTTCAAACCTACAAGAGTATAGATTTCTCCTTAAGCAACTTAAGCTTTTTTGGTTTTGTTTGGGACAACAAATAAATGTAGCCTTGCCCTCTTTAAAATTAATCGACTTGCCACTGGTTTTACTAACACAATTGGATTTTTGCTGCTTGCCCTGTCCCAAGCAACATTTCATCTGCCTGCTTGAATTGGCTGTAGACATTGAATAAATAAATTCATTTCCAATGAATGTCCATTCACTTGCGGTCTCCTATTCCTTGTTTTCAGTGAATTCGGTTAATATAGTAACCTTTCCTTTGATATCTGTGTAATGTAGTTCTGCTTCATTATTTTAACTTGCTCATTAAAAAAACCCACACTGGCTAACATAGTTTACATATGAGGCTTCTCCCTTCATCCCTAAACCAATGAGGAAACTTTATTTAAGACTTAGACATAGGTAAACAGCCTGGTGAATGCTTGAGAATCTTTTTTTGCTACATTTTTTTTAATTAAAGGCGCAATTAGATAATTTCTCACAGGAAAAAGAGATAAGAGGCTTAAAATAATGGGGAGCAGGCAATCTTAGCATTTTGATTGCTCAATAAATTCTCACACTATCCTCCCAGGAAATTGAGAAAGGGTGCATGGAATCTCTGAAGCATCTAGGTGTGTCCACTGTGGGGAAAAAAAATCTTCCGTGATATTTTTGGATCTTAAAGGAATGAATATGCTGCTGATCTTTGTGATTGGAGGGCAAATCGGGAAGATTGTGTGGCCCTCAACAACAGTTTGTTAAGTGAGCATTCACAGCTGCAACAGCACTGGAGAAAGTGACTTACACCCGTTTTTCACACAACCGTTGCAGCATAGTTTAAAAAGTTTCCAATTTTAATATTTCCTTCTTTGAAATACAGGTAGTCCTCAAGTTATGACCACAATTGAGCCCAAATTTTATGTTGTTAAGTGAGACATTTGTTAAGTAGCTTTGCTCCATTTTACGATCTTTCTCGCCACATGTTAAGTGAATCACTGCAGTTCTTAAATCAGGAACACGGTTGTTAAGTGAATCTGGCTTCCCCATTGACTTGGCTCGTCAGAAGGTCGTAAAAGGGGATCCCGTGGCACTGCGACCGCCATAAATGAGTCCATCGCCAAGTGGGTCAAATTTTGATCATGTGATCATGGGGATGCTACAATGGTAAGTGTGAAAAATGGTGATGTCACTTTTTCCAGTGTCGTCTTAACTTTGAACAGTCACTCAATGGACTGTTGTAAGTCGAGGACTATGTATCTCAGTAAGTATGCAAGGAGTCTGTTGACTTTGGGGTTGTGTGGCTCTTTTACCTTAAGGACCAACTATGAGTTGTGAACAAAACAGGAAATTGGATAGCACCAGATCCAAGGATACTCCTGTTAAGCGGTTTCTCTTTTTTCTTTTCTAGTGCCACAATGGCAACTGCACCTTACAACTATTCCTACATTTTTAAATACATCATTATCGGTAAGTCCTCCTTATTTCTGCTACAGCACTCTTCCAGGTGCTTTTTGACTGCAGCTGGCTTGGGATAATAGAAGTTGTGGGAAGAAGATGCTGCTGGAAGGGCCCAACCTACCAACCACGAGTAAAATGAAAAAAGGGATCTAGTTTCGGGATCCGGCGTGCAAGGCTCGGGGGGAAGGTGGCCTACAAAGTCACAAGTCACCCATGCGCTGATTGTGACGCTTTTAATTTGGTGGTTTTGGGGACTCGGCCCCATTCATCCCAAAGCAGGACTTTATTTTTATTTTTTAACGCTTAGACTGCTACATTATTTCACGAACAAATCTCTCAGCCTGCAGATAGCTTTTTTCAGTCTGGATGAGTTTTGGATTTCCAAGCGAGGAAGTGAGGTAGAATGATTGACCCTTTAGACACGTCCTTCAGTGGCTACTCTGGGGGTGCCAACACTTGATCCTTGTTTTATGTCTGGTTTTCGTGTGTTTTTAAAACCATGTCTAACGCCTAGCATGTTGTATAAAACACAAGTTACGATCCAAAGTGGAAAATACAGCTAGAGAGTATTCATGTTACTCATCCGTGCTCTCTCGAAGAAATTTAAGAAGCAGGCACTTTTTTCTAGTTACTTCCAGTTACAAATTCTGTAATAGCAATACCAGGAAAAAATTCCAAAGCAGTTCTCAGTAGCATTATACACTAATTTTTCTTTGGCTTCATATATTCCACAGATAACTTCTGCAGTAGACACTAAGTCAAAGCAGCAGTGATAACCATTTCTAAATATTCTTCTCTTTTCTCTCTTTTTTTTTTTTTTCATTTTAAGGTGATATGGGTGTAGGAAAATCGTGCTTACTCCATCAGTTTACAGAAAAGAAGTGTAAGTGTGCATATCTCTTTCTAATCAAAGTAGTAAACTACAGTGTGTCTTTATTCTCTCCGCTTTCCCAACGTGTTAATTTTAGGCTTCTGTTACGTTATTAAACCTGCCTTACAGACTGGTCCTGGATTTCACTGAAGCAAAATGCCTCCCGTTATATAATACACGATCGTTATTGGTTTAAGGTCGTGAACTTTTGTTCAAAGGTAGACTTAACAACCAAAGATGTATACATCCGCTGAAGAGTAAAGCTGGGGAGGTCTTGCCAGAATCCTTGTCTGTTTCTCACTCCTATAAGAAACATGCAGTAGAACAAGTTGGAAATTAATAGTTTCTTGTAATGGGGAAAAAATCACACACACTTAACTGCTGATTTTGGGGCTGCTGTTTGGCCAAGAAGGTGGGTTAAGCAGCCTTCAGATACAACGATCTCCTCCTCCTCGGTTTGTGGGAATCCCTGTGAACGGAAGCCTTGCTTGCGTTAGGTAGTAAGTGCTTTCTTGTTGTTATTTCATTTTGCCTCACAGTTATGGCAGATTGTCCCCATACAATTGGAGTCGAGTTCGGTACCAGGATAATTGAAGTTAGCGGCCAGAAAATTAAGCTGCAGATCTGGGATACGGCGGGACAAGAGAGATTCAGAGCTGTCACACGGAGCTACTACAGAGGCGCCGCAGGAGCCCTTATGGTTTATGACATCACTAGGTAAGGTGATAAGAGATGCCCTTTTGCTGTGGTTTGAACCCAGGGCCACCTGTCTCTTAACCAAGCATGGTTTAGCTGATGCCCTTTTAGCTGACACTACCCTCTGGAACAAAGCAGGAGTCGGACCTATTGTATCAAACCTCCCTTTTAGCCAGATGATAATTTACCAACTTCCTCCAATTGATGTTTGAAAAGCTCCTTCCTACAGGCACCTCGTTTTGATAGGAAAAGGGGAGGGAAGAACCACAAAACGGAATCTTTCTGTCTCGGACCAAAGGGGATGAAGTCGGCCTTTCTCTTGCTGGGATTGTGTTTAGAGACAGAAAAACGAGCTGGCGTTAACGTGATGAAATGTTTGCTTCCTTTTTGTCCTGCAGAAGAAGTACGTATAACCACTTAAGCAGCTGGCTGACGGACGCAAGGAATCTAACTAACCCAAATACTGTGAGTGTCACAATTTAGAGACATTTGTGTTGGGGTCTGGCTCATCTCCAGCTTGAGATGTCAGGGAATTTCTCCTTAGTCCTAGAGGTTGGATCTCTCCTTGACTCGTTTCCACCTGTTGTTTCCTGTTCTGCCCTCAGGTGCTTTGGAGAATAAGTTGACCCCCAACTCTTATTTGGGGCAGCCCCTCGGATATTGGGAGGCTGCTATCCTGCCTCTCCTAGTCCTTCTTTTCATTCAACTAGACATATATCCAATTCCCGCATCCTTCATGTGTTTTAGCCTCCATTCCCCTAGAATGGAATCTATCTGCCTCTGCCTCTCAGCTAAACACAACCCATTAATTACTATTTGCTTGAGGGAGACAGCTCTGAAAATGATATTTCTTTCCCCCGCTCAGCTCCCTATTCCAAGGGATGGAGATTCCTTCCCTTTTGTACAGCCTTGGTTAGACGGTGTGGTTAACTACAGCAGTCATTCTAGCTCACTGGGTTTCTTACTTCCCCTTCTAGCACGTCTGTGTTACGTTTCATAACGAGCAGTTCCTTAAAACGGCTTCCTTAGCATAATGAGACACCAAATTGTCCATTAATTAAAAGCATTTGGATTTCTGGCCTTACCTGACTCCAACCCCCCCCCCCCAAATGTTTAGTCTCTTGGGGAGAGGAAGGGTGTTTCTTAGCTGTGATGAGGGATGCTCTGTAAAAGGATCCAATAGGATCCTTTGAGGCAAAAAATACCACCCTTGAGCGAGCCCTTTTGTCCACTGCTGGATGTCTGTTAAATGTCTCTTTGTTCTGGATGCAGGTGATCATCCTTATAGGAAACAAAGCAGATCTGGAAGCCCAGAGAGATGTGACATATGAGGAAGCCAAACAATTTGCTGAAGAGAATGGTACGTACAGCTGCTCCGGAGTAATAGCCATAGCCCTTAGACTTCTGTGGTGCTTCACCGTGCTCTGCAGCCCTCTCTAAGCGATTGACAGAGTCAGCCTCTGGCCCCAAACAATCTGGGTCCTCTTTTGACCCACCTCGGAAGGACGGAAGGCTGAGTCAACTTTGAGCCGGTCAGGATCAAACTGCTGGCTGTGGGAATGCAGAATTAGCCTGCAGTGCTGCATTCCAACCACTGCTTGGCCTAGGCAGAACGGAGGGTAGGTAGCGCTCGGCAGAAAGATGGCACAGAAACTGTTTAAAGCAGTGCCAATTTAGGCGCTTTGGGTAGTGGTGTTCAAATTGTATCCAGGACCTTGTTGGTTGGCGAGATCCGAAAGAGGAATATTTTGATTTCCGACCGAGGTTAAACTTGCGTTTTGTTCCCCAAACAGGCTTGCTGTTTCTTGAAGCGAGTGCAAAAACGTAAGTAGGCAGTTGTGAACGTTAAAACATTCCGTTTCATAGATGAATTCAACCCGAAGGAAAAAGGCGTTTTATGAACTGAGATTCTTTCCCCATGAACTTTTTCTCTGCCAAAACAAGAGAGACTGACTGGTGGTGGGAACGTCTGTTTGCAACACAAGAGTCATCTCGATTTATGCCAATGCCGGTGGTTAAAATTGCACTTGTAATGTTGCTAGTTATCGCTTTAAAACATGGGAAGTGCAGCGTGCCAGCAGGAGGGGTGGACTTGGCGGGACTCCTCGATGCTCTCTGAGCAGGTTGCCAGCTTGTAAAGCGTTCCTACGTCTCCTGAACGGTCCCTGCCCGCCTTCCAGCAGGTGGGGCCAGGTTTGCAGTGCCCATCTCACCACAAAAGCCTTTTTCCCAGGCAGCCCATCGCCTCTCTGTGTCTGTGAGCGAGTGGGAGGTATAGGCGCAGGGCTGTAGGCTTCTCTTGGTTATTTCTTTGGAGTAACACTCTTCCCGCTGCCACGCCGCTTGGATGAGCAAAGGGTTGTTCAGGGTCAGGATGCTTCAGCGCTGGTTCTTTTGCCGTTGGTTTCAAATGCCTTTTGGCAGGTTAGGTCCCAGTGTAGGGGTTGTCCCGGGGGTGTGTGTGTGTCCTTCCTGGGTTGGGCGATCCTCGCGAAGGAGGGGATGAATTGCCTGTAGAAGTTTGCTAACCCCAAGAAGCTTAGGGGTGGTTTTCTTGCAGATGTTTCATGACCCACCTAGGGAACCTTGTCCGTGTTGATCATGCACATCGGCAGGGCCAATGGGACCTAGTTAGGTAACAAAACATCTGCCAGGGAGCAGGCTTGGTGGAACACCAGGGACCCCTCCATTCAACCCCTGAGATATAAATAGAGATGCATCGGTCATAAAACCTCCCCAATTAACGCCACTGCTTTTGGCTTGTCCTTTCCCCCCAGAGGCGAGAACGTGGAAGACGCGTTCCTAGAAGCCGCCAAGAAAATCTACCAGAATATCCAAGACGGGAGCCTGGATCTGAACGCGGCCGAGTCAGGGGTACAGCACAAGCCTTCAGCTCCACAGGGCGGCCGGCTAACCAGCGAACCCCAGCCCCAAAGAGAAGGCTGCGGCTGCTAGTGACCTCGGTTCCTTGGCTCTGTTTGTGACCTTTCACCTCTGTCAAGAGCAGTGCTTTTTTGGGGGGGCTGCTTCCGTTTTCCTCTGCACATCTTACCAGGTTTAATTAAAACTCCCGAGGCAAGAGTTTAACACAGTACTAAACTGCTAAAGAGTAAAATAAAGAGAAAAAAACTTAGATGTAATCAGGTTATCAAAGGCAAGTAGAGTCATACCCCATCCCTGCATGGTAAATCTAGACGTCTTTATTCCCCCTCCTCTCCCCTCCCCATAATTGATTGTCCTTGTGAATAGATGTCACCGATTCATGATTTACAAAACAGAGCTCTGATTGCTGGACCTCATGACTTTCTCTCTCTCTCTCTCTCCCCCCCCCCCTCTTTCTCTCTCTCTCCGTTTCTCGTAAAGTTTAACTTTGTTAGCTTCAGCTTTTTTCTCCCGATCTGTAACTGGTCTGTCCTTTTTAGTAACAAAAAAAAAAAGGGAAAAAAAAGGATAAAAAAGATTTGCTATGAAACTATTTCCAAGGGTAGAATGGGATCCTGCGTAGATTGCTTTCGTTGGGAAACTGGGGGGGGTGTTGGATGGGGATTTTGGGGGAGAGGAGGGAGGAGAGAGACACACTGCTGGGTCCCCCTCCGTCTCTGCCTAGGACACGGGGCAGCTTTGATCTCAGACCCCCTATCCTGAGGCGGCGGCTGCTGCTGCTGCTCCCTATGTTTACCTATACGGGCCCTTATTAGCCAAGCGTAAATATGTATAAATTTTGACTGAACCAAGCTAGACACTCGAACGCATCCTGTGTGTGTGATTTTAATGAAGAAACAAACCCTCAATGACCGGCATTAGAAACTTAAGAAGTGAAGTATCTCTACAGCTCCACTAGGTCACCCTGCCTAGTGACTGCAGGTCATTGTCCACCCCGGTTTAACTTTATGGCGGTTGCCCAAGGCCCAAGAGGATTGCTAGCCCAGCGTGGCACCTCTCTCTGTGCCCTGTGAGCAACCCACTCCTCTTCTTTTGTTGATGTTGTTGTTACTCCAGGGGTCTTGTGTACTTGAGGACGTGCTAACTCACTTTCCCTCTCCCCCCCCCATCCCCCAAGTAGCTCTGCATTTATTCCAGCCACCTTGTTGCCCCACCTTGTGTGAGAAGGCGGGGCTGTGTCGCACACCTGTACGCTTCTGGGAAGGGCCTGTTCGAAACGGGGCGGTTGAGGGGGTTGGGACTCTGCTGCGGCATTGGACCCCCTACAGTTCCACCGGCTGGGCTGCCGATGCTCTTCCCAAGCCCCCCTCTACCGTGGTGCCTGAAAGAGGGTTTGCTGAGTAGGGTGGAGTCACACCCCCCCCCCCCCCCCAAAAAAAATCCTCTCCACCCTCAATTGTCCTCTCGATGGCAATCCGGTTTAAGACGTGGCTAAGCCTGGCTGGGAAAAAGGATGAGCACCTTTGATTCTGTGGCCTGCAGTGTCTCAAGTGACCATGCCTAGACACACACACACACACACAAACACACCCTCGATGACACTAAAACCAGGCCGTGTCCCAAGTGTGCAAAAGCGAAAGGGGATAACCGGCATTTAATGTACAGTCGACATGGGAACCTTTAAAATGCCAAAAGTGGGATGTGCAAACGATTCGCATTTGGGTAGCTTGTGCGCTGTCCCTCGCTTACGCGCCCTTGCCGTTGGCTCTAGTTTCTTCCCCCCTCCCGAAATCTCAGAAAGATCCTTTCAAAGTAGGTGGGTGTTACAGGACTTTGCTCTTGGAATTGCACCGTGGGGGGTGGGGTGGGGGGGCAAGGGTTGCCCAGGGACCATGACCTGTTGACACAACTTAAAAAGTTTTGGGCAAAGGCAATTTGCTTCCTGCAGCTTGTTAGCGGTGCAATTTCCTTTTTTTACTCCCCCCCCCCCCACCCAATTCACGTTACAGTAGGTCTTCATTTTCTGTGACAGGATTTATTTGGGCTGCTGTATACTCATTTAATGTAACAATGCTATTATCTAAATATTTGTAAATAAAGTACCTGTATCTAGACAAAAATGAGAGTGAGTCGTTCTTTGGGGAGGCAGGGTAAAGGTGTTACAAATTGTGGGGTGCCTGAGACGAAGGCCTTTTTTTAAAGGGGGAGAGGGCCGGACCTGCAAAACCTTTAAACTAAGGTTGGGCTTCAGTGGTCCCATTCAAGAGGCAGATGGACTTTGTGTTTTTTCCTTAAAGATGTTTCACTCCTCATCCAGGAAGCTTCTTCAGAGACTTCAGACCTGAAGGAGCGAAACGTCTTCAAGGAAAAACAAAGGAAACCCAGTTGCCTTTTGGAAAAACACCTTTGGGGCAACCACGGCCACAGACTTTGAATTCTTCTGTGATGGGTCATAAAGACAGAGGAAGTCTACAGGAGTATTCGTTACCTTCAGAATGGGCTCCGGTTTCCCTTGCTAGCTCGTTTAATGTTTAAGAAAGACAATATGATGGAGGTTAAAGGTGTTATTTCTTTCTTAAATATTAAATGATGTGAGCTATTGGTTGGCCTTTTAAAAACTTCCCAGATAAACTCGCTACAGGCAAATGATGGATGCTGACGGTATCAGCTGTTTGTGCTCCTAGGCAGCTATCATACACCCTAATATCCTACATTTTAAATATTTATTTTTTTGCTGTCTGAATAAAGGAGGGCGAAGAGATTTTCGAGACATTAAATATTGGTGTGATCCTCGTAACGGCCATGGAACACGGACACCCAAAAAGTCGAACTATTTTGTACAAAAAAAATATTTATTCACAAAATATTTTATCCCATAAAAAGCCGTTTGTGCTTTAAAAAAGAAAAAGAAATGTAAAAGAGCAGAAGACACACACACCTCTTCCTCGATTTCCCCTCCACGCCGGAGGAATACAAAGCCACGATGCTGCTTTCAGCATGGCAGAATTCTCTGCTATAGAGATGCGGAAAACCTGAGGACGGGTGAGGAGGCTCGAAGACCATGAACTTGTAAATAAAATGAGGTAGCCTTCATGACTTTCACATCCAATTGGCACGGGCTTCACCAACCCCAATTTGTGCCTAGTATTTTTTCTATAATAACAACAAAAAAGGTGGTGTAAGTACCAAGCAGCAAATTATAGGTTCCCCCTTCCCTCTATGTAACTGGTTTCATTTTATTTGTAAAATATTTCTTCTAGGGAAGCGGCATTTTTGCTCGGAACATGCAATCAGGCTTTGAGCAGAAAACCTTGGCCATGCTAACTAAGAAGGAATATGTGTCAACTGTGACTTAAAAGTCTTGGAATGGGTCAACCCATGTTTGAAACTATTCATAGGCCTTGCACCTCTCACCTGCTTTGTTGAAGCTCTGTCTTAGAGCGGATAAATCACTTGAGATTGGCCTGAAGTGTCTGCAGTCGTCCAGGGAGAAGGCGCTGTGGTGGACTAGGGGAAAAACAACAACCAAAACCTTAACATGAAAAACTAAAAACTGTACCAGCACAATTTTTGATTTTATAAAAGTTGTAAGGAAGCTGGTGCTCTTTTCAGGTAGAAAACACTTTAAATTGATTTCGAATGCTTCCATGGACACGTTTTTCCTTCAAAAGCAATGCTAATCCATATGGATTTTCCAAAGTGAATAGATTCACCGCTCGCAGCGTAACCCAGCGGCCCCCAACCTTTTGGGCACCAGGGACTGGTTTCGTGCATTGCCTGCACCCCAGTTCCTGGCATGCCATGGCCCAGCGCCAATCCATGGAAGGGAGGTCGGGGACCCCTGGCGTAACGCCCTCCCTCCATTCCAAAAAGGCGGCTTTCAATCTTTCCCCAGTTGGCACACCTTGCAAATACCCAGCGCGTAAACCAACGCTGGCTTCGGACCTTTTCAGAAGGATTAGTGCTGTTGTTTTTAACCCTGTTGGATCAAATCTATTTTCCTGATCGAAGACAATAGAGGGACGTTTCAGAAAAAGGCCACGGGGACGTGTCATGAGAAAGGACGCCCCCTTTGGATCCAGGCTTAACGGGGTGAACATTTGGTGTGTGGCTACTGTAAAGATGATGCGAGGGCTAGTGAGGAAAACTTACCTGGTTCTTGGCATCTGTGAGTCCCGAGGAGTTTAACGATGGAAACAAGGAATCCGTAGAGCTGCTGCAGCTAACCAGCTCGTCCAGGGCATCGACCTGTCTCCGCAGGCTATGGAGGGTGCCCTCGGTCTGTTGCTTCCCTTTGATTAGTGCCTCCACTTGCTTCGACATGCACTGCCGGAGTTGGGCCTGGATGGACAAGGGTCCAGTTAAAACATGAGCTAGGAAGATCTGGGCTGCTTGGGACAGGGGTCTCTGCCACTCAGTCTGGCTTCATCACCCAGGAGGGACCTTCCTAATTTAAAGCAAGGAATTCATTCTCCAGGGCTTTAGTCTTACGACCACAAGGGAGCCCAACATTTCTGGGGCTAAGTAAGTTTTGCCCCGTTTGAAGAGCTTCCTTGCTGCAGTTGGTAAGTGAATCACTGCAGTTGGTAAGTGAGTAACCCGGCTGTTAAGCGAATCCGGCTCCCCCAGGCTCTTTGCTGGTCAGAAGGTGGCAAAAGGGGACAACGTGACTCCAGGACACGGCAACTGTCAGAAATATGAGCCCGTCGGCAAGCGCTCAAATGCAGTTGGGTGAAAAAGGGTGATAAGTCACTTTTTTCAGTGTCGTCGTAACTTTAAACAGTCACTAAAGGGACTGTCGTAAGTCGGGGACGATATATCTCAGTAAGTATAGTTGCCAACGGTCCGAATTTTGGTCACATGACCCTGGAGATGATGCAACGGTGAACAAAAGGTCATAGGTTGCTTTTGTGACTTCGAACAGTCACTAAATGAACTGTCGTAAGTCGAGGACTGTCTGTATTGGAGCGTTTCCCAAGCAAATAGCATCTGAATCGTCGTCACTACCTTGAGACGATCCTCCTGGTGCTGCAGTTGTTCCCGGCGCACCTTTCCACGCCACTGTTCATCCTTGAGAGAGGAAAGAACTGGTGAAGAGAAGAATCCCCTTGGCGAGCAGCTGGGATAGGAGATGGGTGGATGGATGGATGGATGGATGGATGGATGAATGGATGAATGGATGGGTGGATGGATGGATGGGTGGATGGATGGATGGATGGATGGGTGGATGGATGGATGGATGGGTGGATGGATGGATGGATGGGTGGATGGATATATATATATATATAAAGAGAGAGAGACTTTCTTGCACGGAAGAGGCGGAAGTCCTTTCTTCCAAGGGGACCTTCACGCTAGCTACAGGGTCCGTGCGTGTCCATGGTACAACTCTGCCTCTTAACATACTTACCGTGATGTGGACTTTAGACAGGTCCAGCTTTTCATCCCAAAGCAGCATCCTGGCCTTGTTTTCGGTGAACGGGTAGTTTTCCTTCAGGCTTTCCACGTCGTTCCAGAGCCTTCCCTTCCCTTCCAGGTCAGCTTCTCTGCCCTCCAATAACTCCGGAGGAGACTGGCTCAGATCCTTCAAACCGTTCCTCATTTTGTCCTTCACTTCCAGCCTGACCAGCTTCACGGTGCCCTTCAACTCTTTCTGCTGCTTCTCCAGCTCCTCCTGGTTCTTCACCTAAGACACAAGAACGGCCATTCCACACCCATGCTGAGCCACCGAGCGGCCTTTTGCACCTCTGGGGTTCTGGGGAGAGTGCCAGGAAGCCCTGGGGGTGGGGGGGGGGGGGGAGTTTATCCAATCAAGGCAACTAACACAACATGAGCAGGAGAATCCCCCGAGCCCTCCCCTCTGCCTCACTCAGAGGCCGCGGAGCTTGTGCGCACTGGGCCTGGGAGCCAGTCGCCTTTGGGCAGCGATCCTAGACGGTGGGAAGAAGCCCAGCAGGCCAAGAGGGGCCGCCATCTTTCTGGGGAGGCCCTTCGGGGGCTCCAGGGTGTTACCTGTGACTTGAGTTGGGCGTGCTCCTCTTGGATGCGGACAAGGTCCCTCATCAGCCGCTTGGCTCGTTGGTGATTCTCTCGGGCCACTTGTTCCAAGGAGGTTATTTCTTGCTGCAAGCCGTAGTTTTCTTGCTTCTGCTCCTAAAATTACAACAGCGGGTTGGAGAAGAATCTGTGTTTGGTTCTTCTTTTCATCTGCCTGGGAATTAACCACCACATTCCATGGAAGGGTGGGGAGAATGCTCCACTGTGATCTTTAAGGACTGAAAGCTACACACACACGTACACACATCGGCCCCAGATGGCCATACCAAAAGGGGCAGGCCTGAGCTGATCCAAAACATCTGGAGGGTACGAATGTCTGGCCCTGTTTCAGATCATCCCAGGTGGATTGGATCCATGTTGTGAGTTATGAGAGAAATCCGGACTGCAAATTGAGAAGGGACCGACTGAAGTCCTACGACTGCCATGGATCCCTTAGGAGGCCTGGAATGAACCATCCTTTCACCCGTGGCCTCCCTAACAGAACCTCACAGAGTTGGAATAAGACTAGCTGAAGTTGTATTCTGGAATCACTTCCAATTAAAACTCTTTTTATTAGTTTATCAAAGTATAAAATACAAAGGAAAAAAAGACATGGAAAGAGAGGAAGGGAAAGAGAAAAAAAAAAAGGAAAAAGGCACCAACTTCCGACTCTCTTTGGTACAGTGGAAGGTAACAACGCTACAACTACAACCCTTTGCTCTTGCACAGCAAGAGATACCAGCCCTTTCTGTAACAGGAAGCCTCGTTTACAAAAGCAGAATTGAAGTTCCATTTGTTTCCCTCTTCTCATTGCAAACACAACATCTGGAAGCGATTTCAAACTAGAGACAAAATTAATCTCTTATTTGGATCAAAGAAATCACTTCCAAGTATTGAGGGAGTCTGGTAGAACTGGGGCCGAGCCAGCTGCTCTTCGTGTTCAAGAAACCCTCTGGTTTCTCGCCATGTCCCCCCCCCCTTCCACAACCCCCCACCCCCCAATGAAAACGAAGCAGAGGGAGGCTGGCACCTACTTGAAGGGCCCTTTCAAGCTGGGCCCTTTGAGCCTTGATGGTTTCCTTCAAGGTGGCCATCTGCTTCTCCGCTTTCGCGTGGGCTGCTTGGAGCCGGTCCTGGAGCAGCCGCTCCTCCGCTCTGGACAGGCTGAGTTCCCTCTGCAGGGATGAAACCTCGCCCACCTTCTCCTGAAGCTTCTGTTCTTTTTCAGAGAGCTGATGCCCTGGAATCAGAGGAGCCGCGCTTGGTCACCCGGCCAACCTTACCCAGGCGGGTGCTCAGCTCTGCTTTTCGTCTGCTGAAGGACGTCGCTAAGAGAAGTTACGATGATTTGAGCCACAGTGGCGCAGTGGTTAGAGGGCGGTACTGCAGGCTCCTTCTGCTGACAGCCAGCTGACTGCAATTTGGCAGTTCGAATCCCACCAGGCTCAAGGTTGACTCAGCCTCCCGTCCTTCCGAGGTGGGTCAAAGGAGGACCCAGATTGTTGGGGGCAAGAGGCTGACTCTGTACACCACTTAGAGAGGGCCGTGAAGCACTGGGAAGCGGCATATAAGTCTAAGGGCTATTGCAATTGTTGGCCGAGCAGGGTCGAAAGCAGCCAGAGAAATGGTTGAAACCTGTCAGTAAACAGCACTGATTTACCAGATTAAGACCCAAGGGCACAGTGTCATAAGGAAACAACAAGTAACCACTTAATAGCCAGTCATCCACATCCTAGTTAAATAAATAAGAGCTACACACAACCAGCAGCCATACAAATACAATCCGTAGAACAGTCCAGTGCACATATTCTGGGAGAGAGAAGCCCAAAAGCTTGGAAGAATAAACCTTTGGTCCTGGTGACCAATTCAGATTGGATCCTGTGGAATTCATGATATCTAAATGCTGGTCTCTTTGCAGAGAGCTCAGAATATTTAAAAAGATGCTACAAAGGGAATGTTTTTTTTAGTGGATAAAACTCCCAACTGAACTGTATACAACCAGTTGCCGAGGGAGTCTGGGGCATGACTCTCGCTCTCCCTCCTCCTTAGCTGCTATAATATACCATGCTGCCTTTCTTACTTCATGGAGACGCGCATTCCTCGTGCCAATGCATCCATGTTCCCAGCCTCAAGTGTGACTCACAGGCTTTGCGGAGCTTTTCTTCAAGAGCTGAAATGTGGGATTCCCCCTTCTGGAGCTTCCGGATCCGCTCTTCCATCTCTTGGACCTTGGCCACGGCTTGTGTCAGCTGACCCTGCTGCTCTTCCAGTTCCTGCTCTAGCTGCCGCTTCTGATGCTTCAGCCTGTCAGCATCCTCGGCCAGCCTTTCCTCTTCGTGCTGGATGTCTTCCCTGAGATGCCGAAGGACCTGGAGGAGAGAGCAACCGACCGAGAGTCCAGCTGGCTGGCGGGAAGAGGCTACTGGAACCAGTGGGTGGTCTGCTTCCCTGACTGGTTTGCCTCAAGGCGTTTTGCATGATAGGAATCTGGCATGTTTTCTTTCTAAAACGTCTCGGCTGAAGACCGTTGGTCTAGTTTGGTCTAATAATGAAGGCACCAGGCTAGAAAGCAGGAAACCCCCGAGTTCGAGTCTTGATTTAGTAGTCATGAAAGCCAACTGGGTGACTTTGGAGCAGTCTCTCTCTCTCTCTTTCTTTCTCTTTCTTTCTCTTTCTCTCTCTCTCTCCCCCCAACCCACCTCACAGGGTTGTTGTTGTGGGGAAAACAGGGGGAGGAAAGGGCGTGGAATGTGTTTTCTACCTCGAGTTATTTGTAAAATAATAAAGGCAGGGTATGGATTAAATAAACAGTAGACAAACTCCTGTAAGTGCTAAACAATTGGGCTCAGAGAGTAGCTGTTTTAGGGAGAGGCTACTGAATCGCTGATCTGAGATCAATTATGGTTTCTCCCTTCATGGCTCCTTTCACCCCTCTTAAATCAACCTTTCCATATTTTTTTCCTAATTTGTTCCTTTTCAGAAAGAAAGAATTCAGGCAGATCAGGTCAGATCAAACCCAAAACGGGAAAAAGGTGAATGTACCGTCTCTTGTTTGGCCTGTTTCAGCTCCTGTTCCTCAAGCTCCTTGCGGAGTTGGTGTAGCTGGCTTTCCTTTTCCCTGAGGCCTTCTTGGGTCTCCTGGCACTTCCTGGAAGATTCGTGGAGGTTGTCCTTTAGGGCCTTCTGTTCTTGGATCAGAGCCTCCTTTTCCTTGGCGGCCGCTTTCACGTCCTGCCGTCCCAGAGCGAATAGTCGCGAGAGAAAGATTTAAGATGCTCGTGAATTGATGCAGACCAACCTCTTTGGCATCCCGGAATCCTACTAACTAGGCCATTGCTACAGACAAATCTGGATGCAGCAGCTCACAGGAGGAAAATTGCCAATAGACTGTCTTTTCCTCCTTTTAGTTTCCTGTAGAAAACCATGCCTTCCTGTAACCAGGTTACAGTCTGATTTTGGCTGAGGTTTATCGTTGCTCTGGCTGCATCCTTGGGGGAAGAAAACTGTGGCACTGACTGCCATGCATTTCCCCATCCTTAACACGGAACAGTGAATCTAAACCAGGGGTGTCCAACCTTGGCAACTTTAAGACTTGTGGACTTCAGCTTTGCTGGCTGAGGAACTCTGGGAATTGAAGTCCACAAGTCTTAAAGTTGCCAAGGTTGGACACCCCTGACCTAAACGAAACTCACCTGTTCCAGCAGCTGAAGGTAATGCCTGGAATTGTTCAGTTCTGTCTTCAAAACGTCCAACTCCTCCTTTTTTCCTAAAAGGGGGAAAATAATTGCAGTAGTTTGAGGAAGAGGCCAATCGCCAAGAAAACCAGAAAGGCGGTGGGAGATTTGATTAGAAAGATCGTAATCTTGATCCCGCACAAGGCACTTGTCTATATGCAAAATGACCGGGATGAAAAGAGATTTGGGAGAAACAAAATTCCCCTACCGTGCAAATGTTTCTGTAGCTCGGCGATATCCCTGTTCAGAACTATTTTCTGGTTGTGAAGCTGATCGATTTCAAGCTGCAGTTTTTGGAAATCCAAAACGGATTTTTCCTTGCTGGCGAGAAGAGTTTTGTTGTTATCTTCCGTGGAGGCTAAGGTTCTGCCAAAGGAAAAAAGCCACACTTCCACTTCACAAATGTCCGGGGAGAATCTCGACACCCATGCTTTCCCAAAGGGGCTTTTTCAAAAGGCAACTGGGCTTTGTTTTTTTTCTCTGAAGACGTTTCTCTTCTCATCCGAGAAGCTTCTTCAGCTCTGAAGGAGGAGGAGAATTCTGGGAGTTGAAGTCCTCCAGGCTTAACGTTACCAAGGTTGGACACCCCTGCTCTCAAGCGACCCCCTTGGGGATCTTTCCACTGGCCAATAAGGCCCAAGAAAACGCCCCCTCCCCACCCCCAGTGGCCACCCCCACCTTTTGCTCTGGGTGAACTTCTCCTCCAGGCTCTGGCAGTCGGCTTCCAGCTGCCGCTTCTCCTCGCTCAGAGCCTTGACATGGTTTTGCAGGTGGTGGAGCTGGGAGGCCAGCCGCTCGGCCTCCTGCTGAGCCTCCCGGAGGAGCCGCCGCTGCTGCTCCGCCTCCCCTCGCTGGCGCTGGGATGCGTCCTGGAGGGTCTCCAGCTCCAGCTTCTCCTGAGGTTGGAAAAAGACCTGCCTGAAGAGGGCTGCCCAAACTTGGACTCCGCCATCACGGCACCCTCCTTAGTGTCGGGCGGAGCTCTCGCCTCACAATCCGGAGGCTGCGAGTTCAATCCTGGGAAGAGGCCGATATTTCTCTCCCTGGGCACAAGGAGAATACATCTGCTGAACAAAACTCCGCTTTGGCGACAGGGAGGGCATCTGGCCAGTAAACACTCTGCTAGCTCCGTTCAGTTGCCCAGGCTCCACCCCGGCCAGGGATTACGGGGTCGTTAAAAGGGAGATGACGACGACAATCACTGCACCCTCATTGCTGCATCTTAGGGCAGCAAGGATGAGTTTGTTATTATTATTATTATTGTTATTATTAACTTCATTTGTATGCTGCCCATTCCCATGATTCTAAGTAACTAAAAATCAAAATGACAATAAGGACATCACCCAAATAGAATCAAAAATTATAAACTGGGAAACACAAAGTCATGCATTGGTGCTCTCTTAGCTTGGCCGTTCACTTGCAGACATTTCATTACCCAACAAGGTAACACCATCAGCGCTGCAGTGAGTGTGGAGATTGATCCCTGTTTATATACAGTAGCTTGCCCTGCCTGCCTTAGTGGAGCTGCAGCTTCTTCCTTATTTAGAAGAGTGAGAATAGCCGATGTGATGAGCGAGAAGCTCAAGGCAGAGCTTCCTAAACTGAACCGTCACTACGAAGCGTCTTTCCTTTACCTCTAGCAGCAACCGTTCAATTTTTTCCAACTCGTTTGTCTTTTGGTTATGCTGGAATTTCAGGTTTTCGACCTCCTCTTTTCCCAGATGTGCCGTTCCCAGCATGTGCTTCAGTTCTAATGAATGACAGAAAAGGGCGCTCAGGTGAATACTGGCAGGTACATAGAAAGCTAAGATGCGGCTACAGTTAGTGTTATTTTTTTTTTGTGAGCCAAACCTGTCTTATGCTTCTTTATCAGCCCCAGGATATCCTGTAGTTTTGTTTCATCTTGTCGGATATTCTGCAAGACGAGAGAAAGCTGGGATCGTTTCTCGCTTAGCTGGGCGTTGAGTTCTCCCTTCTGAACACTCAGGTCTTCGAGAAAAGCCTTCATTTCCTTGGAAAAGGATGAAGAAAAAGCATTGAAGGGCTTCTTGCAAAATGTGTAAGCAAGCAGCTCCGTTGCCTCAAAAGTGGGTTTTTTTTTCCCCTTTTAAAAAAGGCAACTGGACTGTTTTTTGAGGAAGAAGGAGTTTCACTTCTCATCCGAGAAGCTTCATCCGTTGTGGCAACTGATAAAGATTCTTGAATGAGAAGCAAAACTCCTTCCTTCTCCTCAAAAAAAACAACAACACACAGCCTGGGCAAGTGTGCCTGGATGGCTGAGAATCTCCGCAGAGAGGCAGCTCCATTCAGATCGAATCATCCAGATGGGGAGTTTTGCTCCAGGGCAAAGTAAGCACAACCCTTACCTGCTGAATGGGGAACACTGAATTAAAACAATTCTCAAAATGGGAGCAGATTAAAAGAACGGAATCGCTCGAACAACAAAATCTGACTTTCCGAATAAAACTTTTGAGCAATTGAAAAGCAAAAAAGCTGTAACGCAACTGGAAATTTTAAAAAACAACAAAACACCTTTATTAGTTGCCGTTTTTCAGTTATCTCTGCCTCTCCGTTCCTGAGAGCTTCTGCAAAGTTGGCATTTTTCTCAGCAATGCTGTCTTGGAGGAGACGTAGCTCACTCCTTTTTTGATCGAGCAATCTGTCCACCAGGTGTAACTCTTGCTGCTGAACAGCAGTCTGCCAAAAAAAAGAAATCGTTCAGTTGTAGAACAAGTCAAGTCCTTTTATTGCTCAGGCTTCAGGGCAGTCCAAGGTCTGTCCTTTCTTTTTTTTTAACCTGTCCTGGGTGGCAAGATGGTTAAACCCTTTCAGTGGATGCTCAGGAGCGCCCTGTTAATTCATGACTTTCCAAAAACTCAACCAGCCCTTTGGCTGAGCTGCTGGTCAAAGAGCGATGAGGCCCACGTGGCTCTTTCTAAATTTAAATACTAGCAATAGTTGCACTAATATCACTGGTATTTGTGGATAATAAACTCCCCGGGTCATTAAGCCAGCCTTTCCCAGCAGGCTCAACGCCTTTTTCTATATGGCTGCATCCAAGGGTTAGCTCAGAATATCCCCATCTCTGGAAAACGTGGATCGGAAGGAGTCCACCCACCTGATCTTTTAATCTCTCTAAATCGTGCTTTTTGCTCAGAAGGATGTTCTCTGCTTCTTTGAGGATCTGAAGGTGGTGATCTTCATTGCCTTCAGCCACTTGGATGTCTGTTTGCAGCTTCTGGAGGCTGGAAAAGAATGACACTGGGACATTATTTATTTTGGAAGAAGAGGAGGAAAAAAAGATTCAAACAGAGGGTGGCCCAGCTGCTCTTTGGTGAAATGGTTAAACAAGCCAACATATTTGCCAAAATGGTTCATCTCAAACTGGCGGTCTACCCACTCCCAAAAGGCACAGTATTACAGGTGCTCATGGTGTCTTATAGGGAATTTTAGAGAAAGGCACGTTGGAGATTATAGAGAGAAGTAAAAAAAAGAGAAGATGAACCCCGTCTACCCAGGAAGTTTGATGTCCATCAGATGCACCAGTCTAAAAAATACCTTTCGGTCAATATTTCTATCTTCTGGCTCAAGACTTGAAATTCAGAATCTTTTGCCGATACAATTTGGTTGATTTCTTTCAGAATTCCTTCTTGTTCCATCTTGTGCTGTTGCAAATCCTGGGCGTTTGCTTGAAGAAACCTGAAAAGCAGTCATCAAAAATCTCTTTGATTGCTTGCTTGTGAAAATCGATTCTTTTGGGGTGGGGGGTGTTATTTTTTTTAAAACCACGAGCTAAACTTAAAATGTCCAATAGGCAAATTCTGTAATCCATGAAACACACACACAACCCAATAATTCTTGAGCTTTTATTTCTTTCGTTTCCCGAGTGGTCCTTAGGAAGAGGGTCTGATGACACCTTTTTATTCTCCTTTCCATGCATTTAATCCTTCTTTGCACTTCTGCAAAGAAATCATCGGTAACCCAGGGGATTTCAGTCTCCTTGAGGGCCTGAGCAATCTGGTTTGGGATTTTGGAGGATCCGTGTTGGGAAACTGAATTTGCTGTTCGGTTTAAGGGATGCCATTCTGCTGACTTAGACAAGCTCAGGGAGAGGTTTATAATAAAACGGCTAAACGTGCACCGAAGTCAGCACTGTAGTTAAATAATAATGAAAGCTGAGTAAATACAGAGAAGGGCAGCTGATGATCAAAGCCATTAAATAGATTGCAGGTTAAGAAAGTCGGGTGTGCATAAATATACAGGCCTGCCTGCCACACTGATTTTTCTCCCAGAGCAACGGTTACACGCCCGTAAAGGCAAACAAGAACTCTTTAGGACTGTGTGTTCCCAATGTCCTGAGCCACCATCTGGCCCTGTTATGTTGGGGTGAAGAACGTGCCCTTAAAAGCCACTTCTGTTCACCTGAGCTCCTGATCTGCCTTCACAAGCCTTACAGCCATCTCCTGAGTCCGTCGTTCAAGTTCCTCGGCTTCTTTCTCGGTGCGAGACAAATGCTGCTTAGCGGTGTTGTATTTCTGAATAGTCTCTTTGGTCTGGAAAGGGAAATCAGAAGGGGCACGGCTAGTCGAGGAAGAATCATTAATGTTTTTCCTCTATGACTAGTCAGAGAAGAATAATTCTATTATCCAGCCCTTGGAAGGGCTAAGAAGATGCAGGGCAAACAACAGTGAGAAGTCACTAGCAGTCCTTTTAAACCAAGACGTTAAAATTACCTTTCCTCGAGTATTTTCCAGCTCGGTTTCAGCTTCAGCCAGAAGACAGTCTGCCTCTCTGAGTTCTGCCCGTCGCTTCAAAAGCGTCTTTTCCACGCATTCAATTTCATCCATGATACTTTCATGACACTGGATCGAATTTTCCAATTCCAGCTCTGCAGTGAGGTCGTCCCCACGCCCTTCGATCAAATCTCTAAAGCAGAGAGGAAGGAAGGAATGGAGACAGGTAGCCAGAGATATCATTGATTTTCTGCCCTCAACCTTAGCTCAATTGTTCCTGTCCCTTATACACCAGTTTTAAGGTAAACAAGAGTTCTGCAAGGAACGCCAAGCTATTTCTTTAATAAATGATAGTATGACAAAGTTATGATCAAGTTATCCAGACCAGGAAAAATGGCTTGCTCCCTACATCACAGGAGCTTCACAGGAAAAAACTTGCTAAAAGGCATCTCCTACCTCTTTCTTGCTAAATGGGCTAAAAAAAGTTCTACCCAGAAGAAAATCTCAGCATAGATTTTGTTGTGGCGGTCAACAGTTTTGCTAGAGAGCTTGCTCACATGTGGCGTTGACTTCTCTTCTGGGCTACTCGCTGCAGCTCTGCGACCTGGGACTCCAGCTCTCCTTTCTCCTTCAACAAGCCCTGTATGCCCTGGCTCAGTTCTTCCATCTCTTTATTAGGTGCACGAGAAGTTCTGAAGGACTCATCTTTGTGTCGCTGAGACCTCAATGTCTCTAGGCTGTCTTCTAGCCTCAAGATATCGTTTTCCTGCAAAAGATGGAGACCAGGTGCATCGTTAGAGTCTCTCTCTGTCTCCTGATCCAATCAGGGGAGAAAGGATAGCGGTGTACCAATATTTGAGGGGCTGCTACAGAGAAGGGGGTGTGCGTCAAACTATTTTCCAAAGCACCAGAAGGCAAGACAAGAAGCAATGGATGGAAACTAACGTAGGAGAGAAGCAACTGGAATTAAGGAGAAATTTCCTAACGGTGAGAGCAACCAACGGAATAGTTTGCCTTCAAAAGTTGTGGGTCTCCAACTTTAAAAGTTTAAAATATTCGTCCAACTGTAAAAACACTGTGAAGTGGGATATAAGTCTAAGTGCTATTGCTATTATATACTGCTTCACAGTGCTTTTATAGTCCTCTCTTGGCGGTTTACAGAGTCAGCCTCTTGCCCCCAACAATCTGGGTCCTCATTTTACCCACCTCGGAAGGACGGAAGGCTGAGTCATCCTTGAGCCTGGTGGGATTCGAACTGCCGGCAGCCGGCAGACGTAACCTGCAGTCCTGCATCCTAACCACTGCGCCACCACGGCTCTTAGGCTACCATCTCTCAACCACCACATAAACTCCATAAAATCTCCTCTATCGATAACGAGTTTCCTTTCGAAACCCGACTGTGCCGCCTCTTACCAAGTTCAGGTGGTCGGGGATGTTGCAATGAAGGACTCCCAGGGGAACCAGCGGCACCGAGTAGTTGGCAGGGAGAAGACCGTAGTGCAGCTGGACGCCGGTGGGAGGTGAACCGTAGACCACGGATGTGGGAGGGCCTCCGCTGGCTTGCGTGGAAGGAGGCTGCAGGCCATACAGCACCGCCCCCTGGGGCACTGGGTTGCCGTCTGGCAGCAGGGTGTAGATGATGGATCCAGGAGGCAGGAGGCAAGGAGCAGCGCTGGGCAGGGTTTCCCCGTCGCTTTGGTGCCCTTCTGGGTGAGACACAGTGAACGGAATCCACGTTAAATGTGGGAGGGCGGGAGGAAGAAACCTTTCGTGGAACAACACAGAGACGCAAACGGCACGCTCAGAAAAAGAGGCAGCAGCGCCTCGGAGTGGAGGGGCACAGAAGAATTGCTCCTGGGTTCTGAGCTGCCTGGTTTGTCCAGGGGGTCCTCGACTTACGACCACAGTTGAGCCCAACGTTTCAGTTGTTAAGGGAGATGTTTGTTAAGTGCCCCCCCCCCCCCTTTAGGACCTTTCTTTTCCATAGTGGTTAAGCCAGTCACTGCAGTCGGTAAGGGAGTAACCCGGTCGTTAGGTGGATCTGGCTTCCCCGTGGACTGTCAGAAGGTCACAAAAGGGGATCACGTGACACCCCCTCCCCAGGACACAACGAGGGTCGTAACTAGGAAGCAGTTGCCAAGCGGTTGAATTTTGATCACGCCATCGTGGCCATGCCACAAAGGTTGGAAGTGTGAAAAACAGATGTAAGTCACATTTTTCAGTGCCGTTGTAACTTTGAACGGCCACTAAACGAACTGTTGTAAGCCGAGGACTACCTGTAATGGAGGGTGTTCATCACCTTGGAAACTAGTCATAGGAAAACAATGCCAAGAATGTTCCCTTTGCAGTCAGGGTTACAATCCAGAAGCATGCTGAGGCACTCCCAGTCTTTGCCTTCCACTGGTTCCCAGTAACACCCTGCACGTAGCCAGGAGAAATAGGCCCAAGCACTTCTATGCCGCTTCACAGCCCCCTCTAAGCCATTGTACAGAGTCAGCCTATTTGTCCCCCGACAATCTGGGTCCTCGTTTTATGAACCTCGGAAGGACGAGTCAACCGTGAGTCTGGTGGAATTGGAACTGCAGTACCGCCCTCTAAGCACTGCGCCACCGTGGCTCATTATTACGACCTTTTATTTATTTATCAAATTTTAAAAGCACCCACCTCCCTCCTGGCTGCTACGCCAGACGAATAACCTGCCTGGTTTCTCTGGGAAATAAGGGAGTAACTTGCAAGACAGTTAGCTGAACTGACTTACTGCTAGAGGAGGGTTCCTGCAGGCCAGCTGGGCCTGAGCTGTGCACGCAGCACTCTCTGGAAGCAGGATCATGGGCTTTCCTGCTTTCGGTCAGCTTCCTGTCCTGTGTGATGACGGGTGTCGACACGGGACACCGTAAGATAACGCCGGAATCTTTGGTGCTCTGGGAAGCAGGAGTAGACGCCTTGGAAAAGGAAGATAAGACAACAATAAATAACCAGCTTGAGTGGAGAGAAATATTCCCCAGAGCGGAGGGCCCCAATGTAATGAGAGCATCTCAGGCAAAAAATAAGGGAGTAAAAGCTATTATTTCAGCCCCTGGGAAGAAATGGCTTGCAAAAAGATACCCATGAACCCTTCTATCAAAATACGGCAACGTACTATGCTATAGAAGCCGACTTAGGCACTAGAAATAGGCAAACATCTGTACCTACAAGGGGGAAAGAAAGGGGGGAAAGGGGCTATAATCATTTTGTTATGGAAATCCTCCAAGTTAGGGCAATTCACAAAGCTGCGTATAAATGCTATCGTTTTCCTTCTCTTTGGGGACTGCAGGGAAAAAAATCTGTAAGGAAAATCTTGAAAAGAAATTGTGGATAACAGAAACTGGCTGGGCCTAGTTTCGGCTTCCACTCAGGAAAACTCAAATGTTTTATCTTACTTCGGCTTAGCAAGGTGGAGAGAGGGTTACCAGTAGCTGGAGCTTGAGGCGGGATGAAGCGTGAGATAAAATGGCGCTTCCTAGCTCCAGGTGTTTTGGGGTTTTTTTTTGTTTAATGAAAACAAGGGGCAGCCTTGTCAGCAACCCCACTGGATTTGACTTAAAGCTCCTTTCAAGGCAAACCGTGTGACGGTTTTCATACCTGGGATGAGGACGGCACAAAAACCAGCTGTGGGCCCTGCGGGAGTGGAGCCGCGAAGCGAGCGATGGTATCATTCTGCTGAGAGATCGTACGCCGGAGTCCTTCGATTTCCCCCAGGACGCCTTCCATTCCAGCCCTGTTGCCTGCAAGGGGGTTTAAAAAGTCAGTGCGTTTTAAGCAAGTCGGTTGTCTGTTTTAAGCGCCTTCGTTATTCCGTCGGCGCAGCTTCTTTCGCGGAAAGAGTGCAACTCCGTCCACGTTTGCCGAAAAGCCAGAGAAAAGAAACCAACCGTTCTTGGCCTGATCTAAGGCTCGGCGGAGTCGGTCCGTTTCTGCTTTCTGCCATTTCAGAAGCCCATCCAACTTCTCCCACTCGTCCTTTTGGAAGTGCCAAGCTGCCGTCTCGGCGGCGTCTTTTTCCGATTCCAGCTGCAATGTGGAAAAGCATTTTATTTTGAGCGGAGAACTTTCGAGGGGGCCCCAAATCAAGCCCTTCACGTCCACAGCTTTAACCCATGCTGACATGCGGCCAAACACTGGTGGATGGATTTGAATCCCGTGTGTAAAACCGAGAAGGACCAGCGTCAGAGACGATCCTTTGAGTCCTCTCCCTGGGCAGAGGAGGCAAGGTGGGCCCAGCCCAATGGGGACGTGGGATCCTTCCTGAATCCCCCACGGCTCTTTCTGATGAAAACTCTCATTCACTTAACAACTGTGGCAAGCAAGGTCGTAAAATAGGGCAAAACTCACTCAATGAAAGTTTCGGTTAGCAACAGAAATTTTGGGCTCAATTGTGGTCGTAAAGTTGAAATTGTGGTTGTAAAGTATACCATCCCATAGTGCTTCACAGCCCCCTCTGAGTGGTTTACAGAGTCAGCCTCTTGCCCCCAACAATCTGGGTCCTCCTTTTACCGACCTTGGAAGGACGGAAGGACGAGTCAACCTGGAGCTGGTCAGGATCGAATTTCAGACTGTAGGCAGAGTTTGCCTCCAGGGCTCCCTTGTGGAAAGGGGACCATGTTTGTAAACAGAACTTACCTGCGCCTCCTTTTCTCTGAGAAGCTTCTGCAAGAGGCCTATTTCCGTCTCTGCTCTGGCCAGATCCTTAGCCGCTTGCGTGGCCTGCAGGCAGAACTTTTCTGCCTCCTGAAGCTCCTTCAGTTGGGAGGAAAAAGGAAAAAGGGGGAAGAAATGCCAAGTCACCGTTGGATAGAAGGGATCGTGCCTTTCACTAATTTACAAGAGAGCAGCTGCAGAGACTCTCAATGCTCTCTCAAGTGTTCAATGCTACCGTTCTTTGGAATCTCTCTGTACCTCTTGCTGGATTCACCAACATTAATATAAATAAAAGTTTACATATAATGATAAATGATAAAACGTAATGATATAAAGTTTGCTTAGCTACAGGTCTCAAACACAGGCTTCCTTTCTGGAAGCCATGAGGATTTGGCTGTCACAGTTTTGAGCGGGGAGTCTCTGCAGCAGCAGCAGCAGCAGCGCCATACCTCAGAACGTTCCCGATTAATTTTGCATACGGTCCCATGCAGCGACTGGAGCTGGTCTTTGGCTGCACAGAGCTGGGCTGTGGCCTGTTTATCGGAAGCGGAAATGGCTTCTTTTAACGCCTTCAGCTCCTTGCTGAGGCTGTGGAACTGCAGCTGTGCCCTCGCGTCTTCCTCCTTTTTCTGGAAAGACCCACAAAAGTGCATTCAACAGATTTGAGCAAAGCAAAAGAAAGCGCTGAAAGCTACAATGAAATAACCAGGATTCACCTTGGGGGAGGGGGGAATTGCAGGAAAAAAAAAAGCAACTAACATGATTAAGGGCCTGGAGGCAAAAACATAGGAAGATTGGTTGCAGGAATTGGGGTACGGCTAGTCTAGGGAAAAGAAGGACTAGGGGTGACGTGGTAGCAGTCTTCCAGTATTTGAGGGGCTGCCCCAAAGAAGAGGAAGGGGTCAAGCTATTCTCCAAAGCCCCTGAACGGAGGACAAGAAGCAATGGATGGAAACTAATCTAGGAGAGAAGCAACCTAGAACTAAGGAGGAATTTCCTGACAGTGAGATCAATCAATCAGTGGAATAACTTGCCTCCAGAAGTTGTGAATACTCCAACACTGGAGGCTTTCAAGAAGAGACTGGACAGCCATTGTCTGAAGTAATATAGGGTCTCCTGCCTGAGCAGGAGGTTGGACTAGAAGACCTCCAAGGTCCCTTCCAGCTATACTCTATTCTAACCTATCCTTCCAACTGAATGCATCCACACTAAAAAATAAACCCAATCGCTAGATATTTTTGTAGACCTTCAAGAGGAGACACCCACCTTATTCTCCAAGTCTTCCAACTCAGCAAGGATTTGATCTTTCTCCTCATCAGCTTCTTGAAGCTGCTGGTCGGTGAGGCCCTGAATTTCTTCCATGCTCTTCAGCTTTTCAACGAGATGTTGGATTTCACCCTCCAGCTGCTGAACACGAGCCTCGTTCTGCCTCCTCTCGGATTTAATCTAGATAAATACAAGAAACAAAAGAAAGTCAGGGAATGATACCAACAAGGTATCTTGTCAACATCAGGCCTTCCCACTGGTGTAAAAAAAAGGTCTGGATTTTTTTTAGTGTAAAAGGTGGGAACGAGAAGAAGTGGGAAGGAACAGGCTGAAAATCTTATTTGTCATTTTTTATTATAACTCAACAGCTGTTTTTAGAGAGCAGCTTTGATCTTCAGCAATACTCTTAGGGTCTCAAGATGGGGAGTTGGGGACCCTTAAAGCCTTAAAGTCTTCATAATCGCAGTTCAAGAGCAAGGAAACAGGAAAGCATCTCATTCTGTTTAACTAGACGCAGGTAAGGATTCAGGATCAAGCCAAAGATCTCTACATAGTATTAGTTGCAGGATTGAGAAAAAGTGTCCCATGAAAACAACATATTACTTTATAAAAAGATTTCTGCCCAAATGCTGAGTAACCTTTCCTCCCTCTGGTTATAATTTCCCCCCCGCTTTTTTTCTTACTTTGGCTTCTGCAGCTCTGTTGCAGGCCAGTTTATACTTTTCTTGGGCTTCTTCCAGCTCAGCCCGCTGAGTAGCCATCTCTTTCTGGAGCAATCTCTCCCTGGCCTGGCCCGATTCGTTTTCTTGCTGGGAACGAGCTAAGATCTCGGCAAACTGTTTCTGCAGCTCCGCAAGGCTCTTCCCTAATATGTCCTTCGAGTTATGGCACCTGTTGTAGAAGAAGCAAAATAATAATAATAATAATAATAATAATAATAATAATAATAATAATAA